TATATATATATATATATAGGGGCACATTCAAATGAAAACCGTGTATTTCTAAGAAACCGTGTAAACCAATTTATATATATATATATATATATAGGGGCACATTCAAATTAAAACCGTGCATTTCTAAGAAACCATGTAAACCAATTTCGATCAATAGGAAAATTTCATTTTTTCTAATTAAATTTAATCAATAAGGGTATTTCGGTCATTTATAATATTTTCTATTAAATATAGAAGTTATTAATAAATCTTAATTAAGGAAACGTAATAAAAAAAAGTGTATAAATGATAACATTTAAATATTTAATTATATTATAATATTAAAAATTTGAATTTGATATATTGTTATGAGATTGAATCTGCAAACGGGTCTTGAAGATTGTATTGCATTATGGAATGAAATCGTAAATTATGGTTCAAATTAAAAAAAAAATGTTAATGAAACAGGTTTTATGAAGGTGAAACTGGTTCATGTTGTAATTGATTCATGAGTAATATGAAATCGTTTCATGGTGAACCATATTTCAGTGACGGTGTAGTTGATTCGTTTAGTAGAAAAATGAAACATGAAACGGGTGCATAATTTATTTGGTTCGTCATGAAATAATTGCATGATGAAACGGGTACTTGATGAATTTGCTTCGGGATCTTGAAGATTGTAATTTGCTTAGAATCTTGAAGATTGTAAGGATTAAAGGAAAGAATGCATCAAATCATAAGTGAAATAAAAAAAATTAATTTGCATGAAACAAGTTTCATGAAGGTGAAACTGATTCATGGCGTAATTGAACAATGAGTGGTGAATTGCTTTCATAGTGAAACTCGTTTCAGTGATGGTGTAGGTGATCTATTCAATAGAGGAAATGAAAAATGAAACTTGTGCATAATGTAGGCGGTTCGTCATGAAATAATTGCAAGATGAAAAATAAATTAGTTTCATTAATAATAATAAACGTTAACATAAAAAAGTTAATGTAAAAATAATAAATTACTTTACAAAAAATAAATTAGTTTCATTAATAATATTTGGTTTTAACCTTTTGCCCTTATAGGTATTATAAAATGTATTTTCATTTTTTTTATTTTTAATTTCCTTAAATAACCTTGATTAATTTTAACCATTGATCAATAAAATGGATGAGTAAGATTGGTTTATACGGTTTACACAAATGGAGACGGTTTTTATTTGATTGCTCTTCTCTCTCTCTCTATATATATATATATATATATATATATATATATCTTACATTTTAAATCATATATGTATTTGATATATATTGAGATCGTTTAGCTCATACACTTACTTATATGTAATGTATAATCAATAATTTGATGTTGATTAATATATCCCGGATATTAAGATAGCTGTGGCTACGTATAATTTTATTAAAACTGTTTTTAGTTTATTTAATTACTTATCAAAAAAATTAATTGAAATGGTGAAATTAAATATTGTAGGGTTTTTTGGTTGGTGTGGTCTCTAATGTTTGTTTATTTGAATGGATCTTCTCCCTCAACTTTGTTTCAACAGTTTTGGTCCCTCATGTTCCATCATTTTCAACAAATTTCGTCCCTTCATCTAACAACCTTAACTTTTTTCTGTTAAATCTATTTAAATGAGGAACATTTGGTGTCAATATTTTAAAATACATAAAATATATTATATACAAGTATTACTAAAAATTTAAAAATCACCTCCTTATATATATATATATATATATATATATGCATCTTACACAAATGCAAACCCTTCCATTACGGTTGAAGCCTATCATCACCCCTTGCCCTTTGTGATAAAGCTCTTCCCCGCACTCCAACAATGACAGAAACCATCTCCTCTAACGAAGGGAACCAACGACTCCCCCCTATCTTGTGTCCATCTCATCATCAACCTTTGGTTGGTTGAGTGAAATGCATTTGATCTCTAGATCTAGAATATGGTTCGTCGAGTAAAATATGACACCTAAACGATCATTAATAAAAGGTTTTCTGGCTTATGCCATTAATCTGTCTGCATCTACTCCTTACTTCAAGATGAAATCCAAGGGTTTTATTTTTGTTTAGCTTTTTGTTTAATTCAGGTTTAGATCATTGGTTTAGGTTTCTGTTTGATTTAAGTTTAGATTTGTATTATAATCTTATTTGAATGAAAACTATACAAAATTTTTCAAGAGATTGTAATGTATCTCAATTAACAACAGTGGACGGTAGTAGTGGTAGTGGATCGCTAGTGGTGGTAAAGGACTATTGGTAGTGTCAGTAGGAGGGACAAATAGATATGTATGTGTGCATGTATATATATACATACATATATAGACTTGAGATCATGTGAGACCAATGGTTTTTCGTGAGACCCGTAAGACCAATTCTCAACCATTGAATTAGATCTACAATCTGACGATCTAAATATTCATAAACATCACGAGACTTCTCAATAATCACAAAATTGTCACCATGCAACTTTAGACGATTAGATCATAGCTTATAAAGTTGATCAATGAACATAAATTGGTCTTACGGGTCAAACGAAAAACCCTTCGTCTCACATGAACTCAACCCTACATATATATGTAAGTATGTCTAATTATCTATACATATAATAAGTTGTGTGTTTATACATATACTAAATATAAAAACAAATACATTTTAGTCTAAAATTTTCTATGGAAAAAATAGTGAACCCATTTAAATAGATTTACCTAAAAAAAATGGTAAGACCATTAAAAGGAGGGACAAAATCAATTGAAAATAAGGAAAACCAAGTAAAGTAGAGGGACGAGATTGGTTAAATGGAGAAAGGTTAGGGACCAAAACCAAAGTTTAGTCGATTACTTAATTTGAAAAGAGTAGTAGTAAATAATGGAAAAAAAGGAAAAGAGAGTGGGGATGCAGTGGAAAACTGTACTGTCCCAGCTGGCACTCTGACATCATTTTTCAAAGAATAAAACAAAAAGCAAAAGATATTTCCAATGCTTGCCCATTCCCATTACTCTCCCACTCGCATCTCCAAATAATTTGCCAACACAGTACAAGGGTAACCTCGTAATTTTCTCATTTTAAACATGTCACATATTTAATTTTCACCTAAGTATATATCAAACATGTAGGCATTTAATTTAGTCGTTTTCTTTACATATTATATTACTTAAAACTAAACAAATATATTATATAAAACTAAATAAAAAGAAATATTTTTAAAATTATTTTACATAAAATAAGAATATAAAATAAGTTACATTTTTATTCGTTATTTTAATATCTTGTTGATTAAAAATCTGTTTTTGTATCAAACTTGGCTTGCACGCATCAAGGGGCGCGTGGCACGAGCATCAATAAAGAGAATTGGTGAATGTAAAAGCATGTCCTTTTTAACCACTGCATAAATGACAGCTAGACTGTACAGTGGCCAGCTGTAGTTCGCCACTTGTCACTTTCTTATTCGACAAGTTTTGCAGTAAGCTTTTCCGACAGTGACTATTCGAGACCTATCCACAGCCAGCTAAAACGGCTAGTTTTTTTTAATTTTATTTGTGGATCCCACTGGCTCTGACATGGCCTCCACATCACAGCAGCACGCTCACTCACCCTTCCGCTATAAAACCACCCCACACTCACCCTATTTTCACTCAGACTCAACCTTCAATTCCCTCTTTTCTTTCTTCATCCATGGCTTCCTCTTCATCTTTCCTTTTTACTACATTGTTTCTTTCACTATATGTTTGCTCTGTGATTTCAACTGCTAAATTTGATCAGCTGTTTCAACCCTACTGGGCTGCTGATCATTTCTCCTTTGATGGCGAGGCCGTCAATATGAAGCTCGATAACTTTTCGGGTAATTCCCTAATCGGAACTTGTTTATATTTAATGGGATTCAAGTAAACCTTTAAAATATCTCATGAGTTTTGAATTTCAGGAGCTGGATTTTCGTCCAAATCGAAGTATATGTTTGGAAAAGTCAACATTCAAATCAAGCTTGTTGAAGGTGATTCCGCCGGAACTGTAACTGCATTTTACGTGAGTTGATTCCGATGAGTTTATATATGAAATCGTTTTGCTCGTTCGGTGTTTGATTCATTTTCTAAACGGTGTTCATATTCGTAATCTGTTCAGATGTCATCCGACGGTCCCAAACACCATGAGTTCGACTTCGAGTTCCTCGGAAACACCACCGGCGAACCTTACGTTGTCCAGACCAATGTTTACGTCAATGGCGTCGGAAACAGGGAACAACGATTGAACCTCTGGTTCGACCCTACCAAAGACTTCCATTCCTACTCCGTCCTCTGGAATCAGCGTCAAGTTGTGTAAGTTCCATAACAGTACAAGTCCTTAAAGCACTCGGGAATCACACCACGCTACTTTATGTTGTACAATTCGATGCTCATTTCATTCTCCCTTCTTTAATCCGCAATGATGGGTCTGAAAAAGAAAGCAGGCAACGTACATACTTTACTTATTATCCATCGAGTATCTCATCTTACTTTTCATTATTACAAATTGTAATGCATAATGTACAAGCGTTTATTGCACACTGAATGACCTTCGCCTGTCGGAAATAATGCAGGTTTTTGGTCGACGAGACGCCGATCAGGGTTCACTCTAATTTAGAGCACAAGGGTATACCGTTTCCTAAAGATCAAGCCATGGGTGTGTACAGTTCGATTTGGAATGCGGATGACTGGGCCACACAAGGTGGTCGGGTCAAGACCGACTGGACCCATGCCCCTTTTGTAGCATCGTACCGTGGGTTCGAAATCGACGGTTGTGAATGTCCGGTGACAACGGCGGATACCGACAATGCGAAGCGGTGTGCGAGCAGCGGCGGTTGGTGGGATCGACCGGTGTTGTCGGAGTTAAATGTGCATCAAAGCCATCAGTTGATTTGGGTGCGGGCTAACCATATGATATACGACTACTGCAACGATGCCGCTAGGTTTGCTTCGGTGCCGGTTGAATGCGAACACCACCGCCATTAGTGAGACTGGTTACGGTTAGGGATTGGATGGTTGTGTAAAAAGATGGAAAGAACAAAACATGAGCTTCATGTTTTACATATTTTGTTATTGTAAGGTATTTAATTTTAATCTATTTTATTGGTTTATCACTACTTTAAAAAGATCATTAAACAATCCTTAAAATGTTGAAGATTTGGGGGAAAAACCCCATCATTACACCATTTAGAAGTTAAAACGCAAACTAATTCAGAAAATGTAGAATCAAAAGAATTAATATTCGTATTCGTTTTTTTATTCACCTGGATATCCAATCCGTTAAACAAATCGACTAATTTCAGGATGATCACCTATTTTACAGATAATCCAAAATCACTGCATTTGAACCTGCTGCATGGTCACAAGGGGTTTTTATTATTTCTTGAAGTTATTTTACTATTGGCGTTTTAAAACATCCCTTCACGGGCATCCTTACCATGTGAATAAATCATGTCGTACCATTTTCAACAAATTATTGGTGCATGAATAAACAAATATCTATAAAATATTTATTTTTAACTTTGTTGTTATATATTATTGTTTATGTTGAATCATACATTGAGAATAAAAAAAATATATATATGATTTATTGTTATTTTTGTTTTTATAATTTATAATTTATAATTTATTAATGTTTCGTTTATTTTAGTCTACAATTTTAAATTGTTTTGGTCCTTTATTTATTCTAATACTAATTTCAATTTTTGTTGTTAAAAGATGATATTATATTTATATTGGAGGAATATTCCAACATTTCTTGTAATAAATTAGATATAGAACTTTCACAATTTATATAGATTTGATATTTATCAATGTTATTTGCAATTTAAAATTGAATTTTTTTTTCTAATGTTTAATTTTGGGTAAGTTACATAAAAAAATAACTTACTTTAACTTAATTCATATTTTATGTAACGTACTTTAAAAACATCCATTTTGGTATAAAAAATGTAATGTTTTAAACATTTAAATAACCGGATAACCGATTGAAATATTAACCGGTTACAATGCTGATATAGCAACTAATGTGGTATGCAATTCAGTATTATTTTGCTTACATGAATATTTTAATTTAAAATTAGTTTTTTTTGTATTATGTTATTTTATGGTAAACAGTTAACGTTTCAACCGGTTATCCGGGTACTTGAATGTTTAACATTTTGCATCCAGGTATTAAAATGTAAGTTTTAAAAGTACGTTACCGAAAATAGGAATCAAGTTAAAATACGTTACTTTTTCATGCAATTTTTGTAGCATTTGAAAGTATACTTTAAAGACGTGTTCTTCTCAAGATTCTCACTATTTTTAGTATATTCTCGAGCTAGTTTTTCCGTATGGTCCAAAAGAACATCTTTTTCTTTCCATCTCTATTATCTCTTTGAAACAAGATACAAAAAAATTGACCAATTTTACACTCTAAGTTAAACCTGATAGTTATTCGATAACATGTAGATCTTCAAGAAACCAATCTGATTTTTTTTTCTTCCCAAAATCTAAAATACTGACATTTTTTTTTTCTTAACAAATAAGCATCGTGTATTTATCAATAAAGATATCGGAAAAAAACCTTTACGTTTAGATCATAAAAACAGTGACGGACCCAACATTTTCTATCGAGCGGGTGTATCCTTAGATTGAATCAAATGCCTATAAAGTTATCCTATGTATTTTTTTTTTGTCGAATTCCATCATTTTTGAAGTTTTTTGGTTGATTTCGTCTTCGATTTCTTGTTGTTGATATTCCTTGTATTTTTTAATATCGCTATTAAAAAATGAATAAACATATTTTTTAAATACCGTAAACACTGAGTATTCGTATTAAATATAAGTAATAGTTAACTAATAATATTATATTTTTATATTTTATTCATGTTATGTCAATATCTATACTACCTTATAAACCAGATTTGTCAAAAGTATTGAGAACAAATTTTTATGCACAAAGTCTTAAAATTTTTAAAAACAACTCATAATGCATTAAGTACTACTTACTTTACGCATTCAATCTTAAAGTCTCTTAATCTATACTTAAAATAACATATAACACAAGTTATCTATGCATATTATTACTTCTTTTTTATGTTTTCAAAATACTTTTGACATCTTTCACTCATGTCTTTACCTTCTCATACCTCTATGTCTTCTCCTCATCACCCACTGTGAGATTTAAACTGATATTCACCAAGAATTTATTAAAAGTTTTCCAATTCAATTACTCTAGAACTCTCGTTTTCGCTCTCGATCTCTTGATTCTTTGCTCTTGGTGTAAATCGAACACATTTGTGGAGTCGTTTAAATATGTTGGATTTTAAATATATTGGATTTTAAATTGTCATACAATTTTTTTTCATCGATAGACTGTAATTGGAACCATAACTCTTATTTATTCAAATTATATTAATATGCAAAGACCAAGTGTAACTTATATCATCGTTAAATCTTCTATAATAAAACCAGTGAAACTTCAAAATTATTAAAATTCACGGCTCCCACCACATTGCACGAGTACACAACTAATTCTTCTATATATTAGATTCATAAAAAAAGCCTTGCTATTGATCTACGTGGAGCTCTAATGTCCACTGAAATCAATCAAAAAAAATGATTGATGTGTCGATATGCTATTTTACATGATATGATATGATGAGACAAATATGTTATATCATATTTATATAATTGTTATAAAGAATTAATTTCAATTTTTCATTTGAACTTTGAGAAACATTATTGTCCTAAAGAATTTTATATTTCTTAACTAAATATTTATCAGATAAACGCTTATAAGCAAGAGTTACTACCTCATGTACCTTTTCGAGTAACATTTTTGGTAATCAACATGGATTGTTTGTAAGCATCTCTTATCCGACAAACACTAACCCGGTAAGAACCTTCGTTGTTGTCATTCATCTTACTGGTTAATATTTTTATTTCTTGCAATGTTTAGTTGGTACGGTAAGTAGCCCGGTAAACATTTACCAGTAAGCGTTTTGTAAACATCTATTTAGGGGTCGTTTACCAAATGCTTACCCAGTTAGTGCTTTGCCAAGTCAATTACTTTACCGGATGTACTTGGCAAGAACCTATAATCTTGTCTGGTAAGTGCGACGATAACGACCGAAAGTATTACCCATTAAGTGAGGGTGATGACTCTTACCCACTTAACGCTTAATGGATAAACTATTGCATATGATGCCGTTTCAATTTACTAACATCTTACCCGGTAAGGCGTTAAGTTAAATGATAGTCTAGACTCTCACTATTAAGCACAACCCAGTAAACTTTTGGGTAAACCGTCCAAACTTTGTGTCCCTAAGCTTTATCTAACGATCGCTAGAAATTTATTACATGATGTTTTAAGAGACTAGAGACGGAAAACTTTTAAAAAGGGAAATTTATATAAATACCTATTTTCAGGAACCAAATTCATCTTTTATGAAAGGATCAAAATGTAAAAAAAAAAAAGTTTTTAACCATAATCCACAGGTACATGGATCAAATTTGTAAATTTGTTTGGATCACTTCCCTAATTATGGAATTATATGGTTTTAATTTACGGATCATGTTCAATTTTTTTTTTATATATTTTAACCTCTTTGCAAGTTGAATAGTTACCACTTACGGAGCACAAGCGGTGGAGCATGTGGTTTAATTCGATACAACACGCAAAACCTTACCTTCAAAGTGGATTTGTTGTGCGAAGAGTGCGTTATGACCCGTGGCCACCTGCCTGATAGGTAGTAAATTTTTGGAAATTTTGACCTCATTATTTTTATTAATTATCCTTTTAAAATTTTGTCAAAAGTGACCAAATTATTTAATTCTTATAAAACAAGAAAAGAAAAAATTGAAGATTTAGTAAAAGAAATGAAATTATTATTTTTGTAAAACAATTTAAAACGAAAATAATCAAACGTAACTCTCATTGGTAAAAAAATGCCCAATAATTGATTAATGGACCCAAGTGTGGACCAAATAACTGTCGAGGTCGACTGGTCATCAATTAATACTTGATTTTAAGTTAATTTAATGCATTAAAAATTTAAAATAGTAGTTTCATGTTAGTATGAAAAATTGTATCTAAAGAATTTTAATTCACAATCATAAAAAAAAAGGAAAATTAATGTCACAGTTTACCAAACGCTTATCTAATAAAAATTTATCAGCATGAAATGTCATCCCCACTCATGACCGGTCCAAGTGTTGGACAGATTGGGGCCCATGGCAGCACAAACAACAACAATATTAAGGGCATTTCTAGCTGTTTTTGCCCGGGGCATCAAATATCTCTGGACCGCCCTGCCCTCACTTATCTTATTGTGACACATTCTCGACCATCAAAATGGGTTGTTGGTAAACATTTTGAAGGCGGTAAGAGCTTACTGATTAAAAGTATTTTCCATTACTCACGGGATAAGATTCTCGGTATTTTCCATGTGTTGGTACAGTAAATGATATCAATAACCGCCTACCCCAGTAAGTGTTTAGTAAATGACCCCTAAAGTTTTATAGATGTCATTGGAATTAAGCTTCATTTGAGATTTATTGGTGACTGGGTTGAACACATATTACAAAATGTATTACAAAAGTACAGAGCCAAGCTGGTAAATCGAAAAGACCGTATTATATTCCCTATGTTGGTCACGCAAAATGGATGTGAAGTTTGAGGATAGGTGATCTGTATTCGACATTATTTATGTTCCTGTTTAGCTTTTGGTCTGATGGAGGTTGAATCAAAATACCAATAATTGAAAGTCTTATTTTTGTTATTTTGTCTGATCCAAATGTTTTTTTCTCGTTTAGAACATGTTTAGTATAAATCAAATCATATTTGTAAGACTTGATTGGACCTTGACAGTATATACAATCGTAGTTATTGGTTTTTATCCAGTCACATGTTTCTATAATCGATCGGATCATTGTTTAAGAGCTTTTGATAACCATAAGTGGGTAATTAGATGATAACCCTTCAATGGGTATGCCATCGTCTGATAACCCCCTAAAACGACACTTGTCATTGTTACGGAGACTAATAAATAAATATCATACACCATCTAACACTAAAGTCGTTAGTATATGCTCTCTGAGAAACTTTTCTGTTTCGCAGCGCTGCCCCTTG